GTGGTCTTCACTGCTAGGTGGTCTTCACTGCTGGGTGGTCTTCACTGCTGGGTGGTCTTCACTGCTGGGTGGTCTTCACTGCTGGGTGGTCTTCACTGCTAGGTGGTCTTCACTGCTGGGTGGTCTTCACTGCTGGGTGGTCTTCACTGTTGGGTGGTCTTCACTACTAGGTGGTCTTCACTGTTGGGTGGTCTTCACTGCTAGGTGGTCTTCACTGCTAGGTGGTCTTCACTGCTAGGTGGTCTTCACTGCTAGGTGGTCTTCACTGTTGGGTGGTCTTCACTGCTAGGTGGTCTTCACTGCTAGGTGGTCTTCACTGTTGGGTGGTCTTCACTGCTAGGTGGTCTTCACTGCTAGGTGGTCTTCACTGCTAGGTGGTCTTCACTGCTAGGTGGTCTTCACTGTTGGGTGGTCTTCACTGCTAGGTGGTCTTCACTGCTAGGTGGTCTTCACTGCTAGGTGGTCTTCACTGTTGGGTGGTCTTCACTGCTAGGTGGTCTTCACTGCTAGGTGGTCTTCACTGCTAGGTGGTTTTCACTGTTGGGTGGTCTTCACTGCTGGGTGGTCTTCACTGCTGGGTGGTCTTCACTGCTGGGTGGTCTTCACTGCTGGGTGGTCTTCACTGCTGGGTGGTCTTCACTGCTAGGTGGTCTTCACTGCTGGGTGGTCTTCACTGCTGGGTGGTCTTCACTGTTGGGTGGTCTTCACTACTAGGTGGTCTTCACTGTTGGGTGGTCTTCACTGCTAGGTGGTCTTCACTGCTAGGTGGTCTTCACTGCTAGGTGGTCTTCACTGTTGGGTGGTCTTCACTGCTAGGTGGTCTTCACTGCTAGGTGGTCTTCACTGTTGGGTGGTCTTCACTGCTAGGTGGTCTTCACTGCTAGGTGGTCTTCACTGCTAGGTGGTCTTCACTGCTAGGTGGTCTTCACTGCTAGGTGGTCTTCACTGTTGGGTGGTCTTCACTGCTAGGTGGTCTTCACTGCTAGGTGGTCTTCACTGCTAGGTGGTCTTCACTGTTGGGTGGTCTTCACTGCTAGGTGGTCTTCACTGCTAGGTGGTCTTCACTGCTAGGTGGTTTTCACTGTTGGGTGGTCTTCACTGCTGGGTAGACTTCACTGTTCTCATTGCAAAATATTTTCTGCCCTACAGTTTCTCTGATTGCGAATGTAGGAGACGAGGAAGAGCAGAATGGGAGAATTAAAAACTGAAGCGAGAGGGAAATAGGGAAAAAGAGAAGGGGAGAAGAGAGGAAAATAGGAGAGACAGGGAAATAGAGGAGAAGGAATAGGTAAGGGGAAAATGGAAAGATAGGAAAATCAGGGAGAAGAGCGGAAAATAGGCCCAGTGAGGAAAATAGGAGAAAAGATAGGCATATAAGGGAGCAAAATGAAGTAGAGAGGGGAAACAGGAATGAAAGAGGGAGAGATAAGGGTGAAAAAGAGGACAAATTAAGGAGTTGAGAGGAGAGGAAAAGTGGAAGAGTTATCCATCGGACCTCTTCTTCCTGTTCTCTTCATCTACGACATTTCTCTCCTCCTATTCTGTCTCTTCATCATAGGAACCTAAGACGTAATAGATGTTGATCTATTGTTACTGTGTACCACAACGTACTCGTCGAAATTATTGTGAAATAGAATTATAATTGAATAATTACGAGACTGAATAGTTGCATAATAATGAGTGTAAAACAGAACAATAATTGTAAAAAGAATAATAATTGTAAAACAGAGCAATAATTGTAAAACAAAACAATAATTGTAAAACAGAATAATAATTGTAAAACAGAATAATTGTAAAACAGAACAATAATTTTAAAGCAGAATAATTGTAAAACAGAATAATATTTGTCAAACAATAATAATTGTAAAACAGAATAATAATTGTAAAACAGAATAATTGTAAAACAGAACAATAATTTTAAAGCAGAATAATTGTAAAACAGAACAATAATTTTAAAGCAGAATAATTGTAAAACAGAATAATATTTGTCAAACAATAATAATTGTAAAACAGAATAATAATTGTAAAACAGAATAATTGTAAAACAGAACAATAATTGTAAACAGAATAATTGTAAAACAGAACAATTTTAAAACAGCAGAATAATTGTAAAACAGAATAATATTTGTCAAACAATAATAATTGTAAAACAGAATAATATTTGTAAAAATAATAATTGTCAAACAGAATAATAATTGTAAAACAATAATAATTGCAAAAATAGAACAATTGCAAAAATATAATATTAGAATTGAAAGGAAGGTACAAAGTAATATTCTGGGTGATATTAATTGAACAATATTATTGCTGTTGTACAGATTTATATATATTTATAGGAAATCAGAGTATCGGGGGGGGGGGGGGGTAGCGCCCCCCGCGGCCCGGTCCCAGACCAGGCTTCCCGTGTGATGACCTGATCAACGAGGCTGTTGGTGCTAGCAGCACCAACAGCCTGGCTTATCAGGAGCCGACTTGGTGATGGAAAGTGTAAAATAAATTCTTATTTTCTGGTTATCATCATCACGGGGTAGCGCTAGAGCCGTATGGGTCATACAGCTCCTGGAGAATTGGAGGTAATCAGGTTTGATCCTAGGAAAAGGAGGGTAGATTCATTTCTTTGAAACAGGAGTCTCTCGCTTGCAATTCCCTCTATAAAGACTGTGTTGGAGGAATGTAGTTGGAGGGAGGAAAGCGCTGGAGGAAATGGTTGGAGAGGTAAAAGTGTAAAAGAGGTGTTGGAGGTAGGACGGTGTTTAATTAAGGGTGGGAGGTGTAGGATGAAGGTGATGGAGGGAGGTGTAGGATGGAGGCACTAGAGGGAGGTGTAAGATGGAGGCACTAGAAGAAGATATAGGATGGAGGCACTAGAAGAAGATATAGGATGGAGGCACTAGAAGAAGATATAGGATGGAGGCACTAGAAGAAGATATAGGATGGAGGCACTAGAAGAAGATATAGGATGGAGGCACTAGAAGAAGATATAGGATGGAGGCACTAGAAGAAGATATGGGATGGAGGCACTAGAAGAAGATATAGGATGGAGGCACTAGAAGAAGATATAGGATGGAGGCACTAGAAGGAGGTGTAGGATGGAGGGAGGTGTTGAAGGTAGCGTTCACAACATTGTCTGCTGGACAAGAAGCAAGAAAAAATGGTAGATCTGTTGTGTACGACAACAGACCTACCATTTGTTTTGTTGTTGTTAGTCATTCTGACGGTCTTCTTCTCTCTCATCCTACTTTTCCTCTTCCTCTTTTCCGTTTATTTTTGTTAAGCAGGAATATTCATTTTCGTGGACCAGGCTCAGCTGTTCGTAGAGGACGAGCAGCGTTTGTTCGTAGGATCATTTGTTCAAAGGAAGGATCACTTGATCGTAGGAAGTGTTATTTGTTCGTAGGAAGGATCAGGTGTTCATTAACAAGGATCAGGTGTTCATTAACAAGGATCAGGTGATCATTGACGCGGATCAGTTCGTATATTAAAACTCTGCTATTGTAGATGGAGAAAACTTAACTAACATTACCCAGAGAAAAAGCTAATCCAATTTTTGCGTCCGGTTGTCATGGAGCTCTCTACTCAAGAGAGAGACAGAGATAGAAACAGAGAGAGAGAGAGAGATGCATAAATAGGTATGATCAGACTTTAATCATTAACCGGTGGAGAATAGGTAAGAGGTGGGTCTAGGAGCTGTGGATTAATTCCCACAAACGTACATCGGTCGGTGCACATTGCTTCCTCGCACTCAAGCAAATGCACTCAGAAATACCTTTTACAATGGTCCTACGGGATATATTGTGTCTATGTTCTGTAATACAGGCTCTCTTTTACTCGTAGGAGACCCCGAATTGTCCTTTACTACAGCCATAATATACAAACAATACGGTTACAACTTACGGGAATACCAGCGCAGGGCCTCCTACGAGTGAAACACCCAGTATATTGCAAGTAAATCTGTATTTCCCATAGGTATAGTTATTCAAATATACCAAATAAATCTGTATTTTCCAGAGGCATATCTATCTACATGAAGGAAAGTTGGTATATTTCAGGCCAGACTAACTCATGCACTGCACTTTATGACGTCGGAGGCTATCCTGGGGAAAATTGTCCATTGAATACCCCTTTGTCTCGTGGGCTTTCTGGCGTCATGACGTCGGAGGCTATCCTGGGAGACGATTTTTGGTCGGCGAATTCTTTTTCTCCTGCGGTTTTTATACGTGTTACCGTGGCCGAGGATATTCTTGGAAAAAAAAGATTAATTCTTTTGTGTGTGTGTGTGTATGTGTGTGTATATGTGTGTGCGTGTGTGTGTGTGCGCGTATGTGTGCGTGTGTGTGTGTGTTGTGTGTGTGTGTGTGTGTGTGGAGGATGTCCTAGGAAAAGTACCTTGATTTTTGTTATTTTAGCTTTAATTAATCTACGCCTTGATTAAGGCGTAGATTATCCTGGGGAAAATTGACCACTAAATACCAAAAATCTTAGTCTCTAAGGAAGATCCATCTAAGGAAAAAGAGGGTAGCTCCACTTCCTTGGATCAAGAGTGTTATGAGTGCGATGTAAGTTTTTTCTCGGTCTGTTTTCGTTTTTTATAATGCGTTTTCTGCCTTCATTGAGGTATTTTTTAATTATTATTCTAATATTTGCTTAGATTCCTCAGGTATCCGTAAATATTAATAATCATCGTCTGTTGCCGATGATTATTAATATTTATCTTAAAACGTCTTCGCATTGCTCCTGTTGACACCTGTTTTAGCTTCCAGGCTTCTGTTGAAACCCGTTTTAGTTTCTCGGCCTCTGTATACACCTGTTTTAGTTTCTCGGCTTCTGTTAACACTTGTTTTAGCTTCCCGGCTTCTATTGACACTTGCTTTGGCTTCTCGGCTTCTGTTGATACCCCTTTTAGCTTCTCAATGCCCAGTAACAGCCGTTTTGCTTCCCATTGTCATTTGACATCTGTTGCAGCGCTTCACTGTTTGATAACATCTGTTTTCCTGTTGCAGATCCGTTCCCCAGATTCTGACGATCCCACGGGCGCCACACACCCCAGGAGGAGTCTGGTGAGTAATCACAGTAACACCTGTTCCTGTGTGGACCTACATTTCTGGGGCCCCTGAAGCTTGAACTGTTACGGGGGTCCCTTTGCAACACCATGCATTAGACCCAAAATTTTTAAGCAGTGTTGACTAAAGTCGTTTTCGGGCCCCTCCCGGATTAGGAACCCCTGAAGCTTGAAGTTTCATTAATTTTAAATTAAATCCTCCCCAGTACACGAGTGATAGAAGAACCTATCTAGCATGGACTAGTAGGCCTGCTGCAGTGTTTCTTCATTCTTATGTTCTATAATATACAGTAATTAAACAATATCGATAAGTTATACAATATATAATAACGATCGTCTGGGTATCTTGATTCCCAAAACGTTTAGAAATAGATACCAAAGTGTTAACATGTGTCTTATTTATCGTCATAATAAATATTCATGGATTATTAAACTAGTACAGGGTTTAGCGCTTAGTTTTGATTAATACTATGATGATAATAATAATAATAGTAATAATAATAATAATATAATTAGGGTAGTACAGTTAGGGAGCGCGTCTGATGATTATTGAACGGAGGATCGAACCCTCACTATCCCTTGCTCTAATACACTGGACATTAGTGCTTTATATACAATTTACTTTAACAGTTAGTTTAGCATCATTATATAAATAAATATCGTCTCCCTTTATCCGGCATTACGTTCGTTCTATCCGTCCATTTATCGGACCCAGTGGTAAAAACCTAGGACATACTTATCAGACAACGTTTCGGTCTTTAATCACTTTCAACACACAGATGTCACCGATACCATAGAACGTAATACAGGAAGCTACATTTCAACCAGGCAAAGCACCGCCTACCTAACAAAACAGGAATCAAACGACCTCATTCTCTGCCTGACCTTGTCTCAAATATGGTATTTTTCAAGTCGTGTTGTCACACCCGACTCTCCGCCTATATATGTGCTGTTATTTTAATCTCTCTCTGTTAGAAGTTATTAAGATCCCAGGATCGGAACGCTCTCATAAATGTGTCCAGTCTTTGTCTTTCTAAACCAATTTATCGGACTGTCTGTTCATTTGTTTTATTTATTTTGATGTGTTCAGTCTCCTAGCTGACTTCGTAGCGCACTCAGCTCACATATTGAGGTCCGTGGTTCGATTCTCGGTACGACTGTCCTCGCACATTAGGACGTGTTTCCTTAAGACGCCTGCCTGTACCTGTTCACCTAGCAGTAAAATAGGTACCTGGGTATTAGTCGGCTGGTATGAGGCGCATCCTGGGACAAAATTGACCTAATTTACCCGAAATACTCTCCACAGCCTCGCCAGATAACGCACTGGTCTCCAATATTAGAAAGAAGGAGCGCTGCAGCAGGCCTTCTGGCCAACGCTAGGCGCTTGTTTACCGAGGTACAGTGGTACTGAACTATTTAAAAAAAAATTAATGCTGCAGTCGTAATGAGTTTAAACTGTTGTGAATTCCGTCATAAAACATTACAATATAGTTGTGTTTGGTTGTCAGCTATTTGTGATTCATTTAAAATAGCACTTAGATTTTATATACAAATAGGAAATTCCAGGAATCATTCCCAGGATTTGTGTTGATACGATGGGAGGGGAGTATATGATGAGTGAGGGAGAGGTTAAAAGCGCAGTGAGGGAGTGGAAAAGGAGGGATAATGAGTAAAACAGAGGTTAAAAGAGCAATGAGGGAGTGGAAAAGGAGAGATAATGAGAGAGTTGTAGAGGACTAAGATGCTTGCAGGGAGTTGTCATCCAAACTGTATTCCGTTTCCGGTTTTCCTCTCTGTCCCTTTCCTTTTTACCTACAAGGGTAAATTTATAATACAGTATGGTCTTGGAGGGACTATAACACGTGAGGTGTTTCGTGCATGAAAGATCTAAACGTGTAAGTCGTTCCACTAAGGGTTCAGTAGGTACGGAACTACGTGTGGCTGATGACTGATGTCACCAGAAGGAAGGGGAAGGGGGGGAAGGTGCTGTCCAGGGGAAAGTTGTAAGTATAGGGTCGTGACATCGTTGCCAAATGTAGCGTCATATCACGCTTCTGGCTGATTGACAGGTGTCAAGTCATGTGTATCGTGACAAGGCACGAGAGCTGTCAGTGACTGTTACTTCCTTGATCGTCATAATTATTATTGGTATTATTATTATTATTATTATTATTATTATTATTATTATTATTATTGGTGTTAAATGATAGTTTAATATTATTTCCATCTTTTTCATAATTTTATCGTTAAAATTATCATTGCCAGAGGTGACCACGTTAGTGGTCACCTCTGGCTTTCTCATTCTTTCTCATTTCTTGTTCCTTATTTCGTGCTCATAATTCCTTATTTCGTGTTACTCATTCCTTGCATTTTATTTTTTGGCCCTTATTCATTGTTCATTATCTCCCTTATTTTATTCCGTGTTTCATATTCCATTATTAATTTTGTGTCCCTTATTTCTTGCTACATGTTCCGTGTGGCGCAGAAATTTGATTTTGTGCTCTGTTAGTCATCTGGCGATTACGTAAGTGCATTGTTCCTAACATGGCATAGTGGATGAAAGACTCGATGTTTAGGGAGTGGGAGGAGGGAGAAGAAGAGGATGAGGAAGAAGAGAAGGAAGAGGTGAATGTGGAGAAAGAGGGAAGAGCGTAGCGTGGAATTACACTCAAAGGGAAGGCGTAGGAGAAAAAGAGAGAGAATAATTGTGAGAGAGTGAAAGTATGTCGAGGAATTGCAGCCACTGGGGTGTAAAATGTCCAAAATGATCTCTGAAGAATTTCTTTCGTCTCTTCTGCTTGAAAGACGCCTTGTATGTGGGTGGGTGCGGGAAGGAAGAAGAGCGATTGGTGGAATGTTGAGGTAAAGAGAGTAGTAAGAGAGAAAAAGTTAGCATATGAGAGGTTTTTATAAAGTAGGACTGATATAAGGAGGGAGGAGTATATTTTGGGATAGTGCATGGTTGCCACACGAGAGAGAGAGAGAGAGAGAGAGAGAGTTGGGGAAAGTAGCAGCTCTTAGCTTGTAAATAAAGACAGGAACACTTAACCAAACTCCGTAAAAACCCTTGTGTGAAAAAAAAAAGAAGCGAGGGCGAGCGAAGAAAAAGTCTGGTGTTTAATCTCTTGGCAGGTGGTTGAAGAAAAGAGTAGGGGGATGGGACCATTTGGATATTGGTCAAGTCATAATATCTGCATAGTTGAGGTGATGACAGAGTAGCCACATAGAGCTCTGCCAGTCTCCCAAGTACGCTCACGGACACAGTGTTCGTGTTCGTAGATTGTTGTTTATGTTCAAATTCAAGACCATAAGAAATTGCTAACACATTAAAAAGTAAGACACATGTGCAACAGTTAGGTATGTTTATTACGAAACGTTTCGCCTACATAGGCTTCTTCAGTCGAGTACAGAAGAGTCAGTAGAAGCAGTAGAGATGTGAAGGTGATGTGATGAGGCCACCACCCTTGAAGACGTTGTTTCGAGGTGGTCAGTCCCTCGGCAACAGTAGGTAATTTTTTTTTTTCAAAATTGATGATCTGAACACATCGACTCTGTCACGCTACCGTTTGTTTATAACAATTGAGAAGTTATAAATACAAGTGTATTGCTTGTTTGTGGTGTCTGGGGTTGACACCCGCTACTAATTATATGACGTGACCCTACTTGACCTGTGATTCAAGTGAGATTGTCTAATGAGTGTACGTCTTACCTGCATTAAGAGACAGTCTCGGTACTCCGAAAAAAAATCCCCTGGCTAGACTTAAGCTACTGTGGAGTGGAGACTAGATGATGGTCGTCTCGTCTAGTTGTATAACAGACGGGCAAGGAGAAGTCAGAACTTGATGGATTACGCCAAGTTACTACATTCTGCTGTATACACTTCGTATCTCTGAGGAGACACTCGATTCCTAGTGTACTGTAACTTTAAGACTGTCCGAACTAACTGATGTTCTATGTGTTAGTTTCAATTATGTTGGATGTTTGTAAAATATTTAACTTGTACTTGTTACTACCAGTTAATGAGACTTATATAAGATACTGTATACATGAAAAGTAATGTTGGATGCAACCTCGATAGATACTTTAAGGAACCCAAAAACTTCGTCTTTATCTTGTATATTAAATACCTTACTTGTAATAAGGTACAAAGATGTCTATATTAAATTAATATAAATTTAACTACTTTTTGATCGGGGTTTTTGTAAAAGATAATAAAAAGGAATTTGATTATGCTTAAGTATTATTACGAGCATACGAGGGAAAACATTTACTATCTAGAGAAATAAGCTGTTTTCTCAAGCCCATAATAACTCCAAGCTGAAAAACTGATTACCTCAAACTTTTCTTCATTCACGTTCTTCTCTGTACTGGACTGAAGATGCCACTGGCTGGCGAAAACTTTTCCTCAATGTTACACAAGTTTCTCATTCTTCAAGGTGTCGGTTTTCAAAACTATTTACATCACAGGTAGGTAATTGTTGCACATGAGTCTTACTCGCCTCCTAGACGGTGTTTTATAATTCTATTGATGTGAAGGAATAACTGGTAAAGATATGAAGAGAAAGAGAGAGACTTAAGTCAAGAATCATACAGCAAGGTTAGGTAAGATTTGTCAGGAAACAGTTCAAGTGTTTCCTGACGCGGGTCTTAGTCATATGATGACCCGCAGCTGGAACTTTTGGTTATTTGACCGAGGCCTTCCACTGGCATACCCCTCCACTCCATGAAAAATTATGGTTATGTATTCATCATAGAACAAGGAGGATCAAGAATGACCTGGAAGTGATGAGTTAGACACGAGTGTAACACAAATTCCATCAACCACTTCCAGGTCTTCTTCCGGGGGTACCTACAGCTAGTTCAGTGATTTTGGTTTTAAGAGGAACATGAACCGAAGATGAGTGTGTACAGTGTGCACATGCATGTTTTGTTTGTGTAGTGTTGGTATTACATGTTCATATATACGCACTTCAGTGTTTTGTTTGTGTAGTGTTGGTA